CCGACGCGATGACGGTTCAGGGGTTGGGTTTGGTGAACCCGAAAAATGTGATTCGTTTCTACAACGACGAGTTACACAACTATTTGGCATCTGCAGAGTGTAGGTATAGATAGGGTGAAAGGGGAAAAACTTTAGCTGTTGGAGGCCAACAACCTATGGTGTTGAGAGAATTTCTAGAAATGTCACGTTATCATGAGAATGAATAAATTAATAATTACATCTTAATTTATTTTGACTAAAAACCAAAGCATAGGCGTAAATAGATGAACTGTCCAAAACATGCCCAACCCAGAAATGTCTCAACAGCCTATGCTATTGGGCCCTAAAAGCCAAAGTTAACCCGGGTGAAAGCCGAAAGGTGGACGTCCAGTGCATTTTAGAGACTCGGCGCAGGTTTAGGTGGTAGGGTTGAGTTCACGAGGCAGTACCATAATGGCTACATCGTCTCCATGAGCCATAATACTGATGCGCTCCACTGGTATTTTACTGCACACGCTTGCATGGCTGCATCTTTATATTTTCTTTGTTTTTTCCGGTTAATGTGTTGATGTGACGTGTTGTATTGGATAATGGTGAGCAGTTCTAAGCAAACGGCGGTGGTGAGAGCATCAGACGATTTCTACCCTCGTGATCCCGTGTCCCACACAATACACATAGCACCAGTGGCATACAACAGCGCTTTCTTTGGAGAGTTCATGCAGCCGGACTGGGACATGTTCCACTCGCAGCATCAAGCGGCGAAGTACCATGGCTCAGCAAGGAAGATCAGTGGTGGGCCCGTATATGTTAGGTAAGCCAACCTGTGCGTAACTTAATTTTCTGATTGGTGCCGTACCTTATTATTCCTACCACAGCCACCTAAGGTTGACACTTGTTCAACAGTGATGCGCCGGGGAAGAACAACTTCGACTTGCTTAGGAAGTAGAGCTGCGAGTCAGGTCAGGCCGGGTTAGGTCGGGTTGAGGCCAACCCTAACCCTAACCCAACCCGATCTATCTAACACTAATCCTAATCCTAACTAAATTCCTTCAACTCTAATTCACCCGGGTTGGGTCCAACCCAATTTTTTTCCATCCTTTATAATCTTGTAAAACTTCTTAATCATATTTTAACTCAACTTTCACTATACATATTAATCTTATGCAAGTAAATTAAAAAAAAACGTGTTTGAAATGACTATAATTTATTATGAATTATGACTTATAATAGATCTTTTATGGGCAGCAAGCTATGGGTGGTAAAACAACAGAAAGGAGATAAAGAATAAAATATTCAAAAACATAAATATGTTATTAAGGTTTTAGTCTTTCTAATTAGGATTAAGTAAAGTGATTATCTTAAAAGAAATAAATGATAGTATGTGGTGGGGGCTATACAAATATCATGCTTATAAACAAATCAATATAAGATATATCATTTATATAATATATTTATATATGATATGTACTATAGAGTCGAGTTTGGGTTAAATCGGGTTGCCTGAGGGGTTAACCCTAACCCAATCCGAAGTAAAGTAGGGTTCATAAATTTCAACCTAACCCTAACCCGAGCATCAACCCGACCAAACCCAACCTGACTTTTTTTGGGTTGGGTTTGGGCCAACTCGGCCCAAGTTGCAGCCTTATTAAGAAGATGGTGTTACCAGATGGAACAACACCCCGAGCACAATTACTTGGATGCTCGACCTGGGACTTGTTCTCGGACCCAACCCGCAATGGCGTGAGGTGAGCAATAGCGATTGTGTCAATTTTTTGTTTTGGCTACGTTGGTTGCAGTGCAATTTTATTTGCACTAATACAAGTGCACGAATGCAAATAAAAAGAATCGGAATAGTCTATTCTTATGGTCTGTTTGGTTCAAATAAGAATAGGAATGGAAATTAGAATAAGTTGGAATAGAATTTCATTCTTAGAAGGGGAGAAAATGGCCATTTTCACAAATGAGGGAATGCCATTCCACCAGGAATGAAAGTAAGATTCCAGTCTGCCCAACCAAGCAGTTGGAATTGGAATGGGCCCGATTCCAGCAAATCAAATGGGCCCTAAATTCAAAAACAAAAATAAATCAAAATTTGCATCCAAATCATTTGTACTACCATAGGTCTATAGCTTTGCAACATTGCAATATTGCACTGCAAGCAAATGCAACCTAACAAAATTGAATCAGTTTGCAGCAACAGAACTGAATTTGGTTTCATATTTTCCTTGTTGCAGCTTGTTGAAGATATGGAACATGAACAAGTTCACCGGAGTGCTGGGGGTGTACAATTGTCAAGGTGCAGCATGGAGCAGCGTGGAGAGGAAGAATATGTTCCACCAAACCAGAGAAGTAGTAGTTGGTATTGTGAGTGTTGGTAAATGAGGTCACTGTAACTTTGGAGGAGAACCTCTGAGGCGCGTCTGAAGACACTGTCTTTAGAACGTTATTTGCCTCCATTCAGTTTCACTGAGTTTGTTGTTGGGTTATAGGCAAATCCATTCCCAGGATACAACAGAGCCTTGGGCGAGAATCTGCAACCAGCAAAGTTGAAGAATCTCCGAAGAAACCTTCTGTGAGACTGTAGCAGATTGGACAGAGAGAGAGAGAGAGTGAGTGAGAGAAAGTGGATTTCGAAAATGCGTGTTTTTGAAGTTTGATTCATGCTCATTAAATAATTTATGAAGAGGTATGAAGAAAAGGTAGGTGCTGGTTCAGAAAAGGCACATTGAATTAAAAATTAGTTAACAGTTAATGACTATTAACTTTGAATTGTACTTCTTGATCACACCCGATTGAATCGTGACCGTTGATCTCATCAACTGAGATCAACGGTCAACATTGCACCAAAACCAAAGCCGCCCTTCGCAAGCCATGCGGGTGCGTACAAAGTGCGAGCAAAGTGTGCCTCTAAAGCGCCTCATTGTGCCGCACACACGCGTGCGTGCACGTTGCACGGTATCGAACCCCATACTCTCCTCTACTATTTTTAAAGAGTGTAAATCAAGTCCCATTAAAATACTAAAAACAAAGCTTATAATTTTTCAATCAAGTGTGCAGGTGCAATTTCTCATGTAATTGACTAATCAAACCCATTGGATTTAATCTCTTATGAGATTAAAATCCAACAGTGAGGGGCCGCGATGCCCACCTCATTTCAGAGATAGCTACAGAGCTGGACTAGAATGGCGATTTGCGCCGTGTTCCGGCACCGGGGTGGTGAGTTGGTAATACTCCCCCGCAATTCTGCCCTCCCCTGTGTCGCTCAAGGTCTTTGAGTATGACGTTTTCACGGTGTCCCCGATCAAGGTATTAAATCCGGGTTTCAGCTTTGCACCACTGGGGCTGATTGACATGTTCAATGCTGGTGGAGCCATCGAGGGGTTGAGGTATGAAGTTAAGGGTGGTGCTGGTTTGTTGGAGTTGTAGGATGGGTTTGAAGGGGAGCCAAATGGGATTGTTGGGCAGCTGGTTGAGAACCGGAGCTTGGAGACAGTGGGATTGATTCATATGGAAGTGAAGGGGTGTGATCGGTTCGGTGCATTCTCATCAGCCAAACCCAGGACTAGCAAGGTTCAAAATATTGATACGCCCGATACGTCAGTAGAGGTGTATCGGGCCACATCAGTACTTTGTTTTATACTTCATTTATTTTTTTTTAAATCGGTTCACGAGGGCCGATTTAAGGCTCTTCTACCCCCTGAACCTGTCAAAACCCCGATATACCTCTGTATGAACATATCAGGGAACTAACGAAACGATATGTATCAGCCTGTATTAACTGATATGTATCGATACTTTGAACCTTGCCTAGGAGGTGTGTTGTGGGGTTGGAGGTAATGGACTTCACTTATGAATCTGGATCTGGGCTTCTGATCTTCAACTTGGATCACATGCCGGGAGGATAGAAATTCCACAAGATTGAGGTGGAGTTATAAACTTCCAGTTGAGAGTTGTAGTCAGGAGAATTTAGAAATTGAGGATCGGAGGATGGGAATTAAGATAAAATAAATGTTTTGGAGGGGTTTGATGAATGAAAGAGATGAACTTGTAATCATTATATTTCTGGATCATGGGTTTTCGGTACTGTTGGTATTGTATATTGTATGCAAGGAGGTGAACCCAGTGATAATGGAAAATGCTCAAAGATGGTAGAAGAATTCAAGATATGCGTGTGAAAACATCATGGAAATTCAAATAAATCTCACTATGCATTACTTCTTACAATTTTTTAGGTCTAAATATATCATTTTTTCATTGCTGAAAATTAAGAAAAAAATCAAATCTTAATCTAAATAATTTGCTTTAGATATATAAAAATACTGTTAGATATTATAAAAATATTAAGAAAATTATATGTATGTGTATATAAAGCAAATAATTGAAACTTACTGATGGATCCATGGCTCTAGTTGGTCATCCATAGAGCCAACATAAAATAAACAAAACCCTTATAATTTAAGTCACCTTAAATGAAAACATTCCATCAAACACTGAAATCTCACCATTATCAAATGGTTCCTGTGTATCTTGATATTTGTTTAGGTAGAGTTGGCAAAAACTTGACCCAACCTGTGAACCCGGCCCAACCCAACCCAAAAAAATAGGACTAGGGTCTCATATGTAGCTACCTGAATCTGAGAATGATCTGACATAATCCGACCCGACCCAAAAAACTGGACTGGGTCATGGTAAACCCACTGACCTGATTGCCATGTTTAATTGGGACTATTTATGTAGTGTTAGAAGTTTCCGGGTTAACTTTGGCTGTTGGGGCCCGATAGGGCTGTTGAGATAGTTTCTGGGTTGGACATGTTCTAGGCAATTCACCAATTCACGCCCATGCTTTGGTTTTTAGTCAAAATAAATTAAAATATAATTATTAATTTATCCATTCTCATAGTAACGTGGCATTTTCAGAAATTCTCTGAACAGCATTAGCTGTTGGCCCCAACAGCTAAAGTTTTTCCGTGAATACACATACCTATTCCGCCTCTGTACCGTAATCCAATTTGAAAAATTGATTTAGCCTGTAAAATAAATCTCTCATCAATACTTAAAAATCATATACTACAAATGAGAACCCATAAATATCTGAAAGGTATGAATCTTTACGCACATGTAATGGAACAGCTATCGGATATTGATTAGTGCAGGAAAAAACTGCACCAGATCTGCCTGATATCTAATATAAAATACAGAGAAGACCAACAACTAAAAAAAGCCATGGGGAAAACTCCATCTGATATCTACAGCCAATAGGGGGTAGATACATGTACAAATTACTTCCAACCTCACCCCTAATCCTATTGGTGTGGAACACTTGAAAAGGGAATATCTGGGATCAAAGCAAAGCAAGACACGGGACACCAGCTGGGACCGATTGCTACTGAATTGGAGAAGCGGTGTCACAAATGGTGAGTTGGTGGGTAATCTAACTACTGTTCAAGCAACAAGTGCTCCAGCTCCTTATCGAAGTCATCGGCTACATTCTCTTCTTCTTGTGCAGCCCCAGCTACATGGTCTTCTTCTTGTATGTTGGAAGATTGATTAAATCCTGATTGTTGATAGAACACTTCCTTTTGGATGTTCCAGTCCTCTGCTATCTTCTCTATAACATCTCCAATCAATGTCTTGTTTTCTGCTATGTGCTTTATGTTTTCTATATCCACCTGTTCACCAGCCTCTTTATCGAGAAACATTCAAAAGGAAAGACAAAAAAACCCGTAAGACACAAAGGATAGCCAAATAATATACCAGGTTATTATGAAATCACAGGTCAATTATCTTTTTTTAATTCATATGTTTCCTTTTCCTTTATTTTTATTGACTAGCCAACAGAATATGGCACATTTTGGTGGTGACAGTCCCATGATAATGACTTTTGGGGTGAGGGAATGCTAACAGTACAACCAATGTTTGGGAGAAGTTGACCAGCCACCACTTATTGATCAGTTTGAACTTGAGGGAACAAAGAATGGCAGAAGTTACAAGATATAACCTGTTCAAGAGGTAACCTTGCCTAACCCACCATGTTTTCTTCTGTTAGGTGGGGGAAACTTCTATAACCATATTAGCATTGCTCGTCAACTTAAGGGTCATGGTTGCACAGTAGGCTATCAGGTAATTCTTCCTTGTGATGTGTAATTCTCATGCAGGGAAACCAGTAATATGATAATTGCAGAGAATGGTACCCTTGATGGCTAGTTCCTTTGCCTTTGCATACTCTGTTGACATTCTCTTGAGCACTTCCATGTCAAGTTCCATACCCTGATTAATATGTAGGAGTTAAGCCAGTTAAAGAAATGTTTTGGAGGAACATCTCAAAGAGAAAATCCATAAACAATGTTCTCATGATTCATGAAATTGTAATAATCCAGGATGCACTGAACTCAATCATTGGAATTCTTTTGAACAGAAAAACATATAGCAAGAAATCCATAAAAATGTCATGATAAAAAAAAGAATTCTACAGAAAACATCAATGAACTTGATGATTGTTTTTTATAGATGAAAATCCCATATTATCATAGATCACAATTTAGCACTCCTCATGATGGTACCTTAGATTTCCTCATGTTTTTCTAACAATGCATTGTAGTACTTACCAAGTCCATGTGAAGGAAGTGCTCAATCCGGGTATTTGACAATAACCTGCTTGGACAAAGAGGCAATGAGAAACTGCATACATTGTATGATTTGCATATAAATAAATTTGGACGAAAGGAAATGGATGAAATTATTCAGTTCTCAAAAAAAAAAAAAAATAGGAGATGGCAAGATACTTCTCATATGCAACTCGAATGCGGGCATTTTGAAGATTTGTGATTTCATTAACCCTTTCAGCTACAGAGCCCTCATTAATGTCAACAAACCCAAATAGAAATATGTGTTTTTCAAGCATCCTTTTAACCAAAGCAGGTACAATTCTTACATTTGCTTCTTTTGCATCAACAACAAGGTTTCTAAGTTTCTTCAGCTCACCTGTGGCAAATAAAAAAAAAAAGAAAAATTATGAAAACAATGACACCCAGAATGACCAGGAAGCATGAGAAGCTCTATCCTTTTTAAGATTTATGCAGGCCATTTTTATAGATCAGCAACAACAATCAATAGTTTTACTAATAAATCATAAAGTAAAATCCCAACATTCAAATGATTAATGCAAGTCATATCAGTCATCGTAGTTTGACAAACAGTTGTTTGGACTGAAAAAATTCATGATTTTCATATTTAAAAAATTGAGACATCCATTCTATTCTCTATACATTTCTTAGAAAAAAGTGGTGTATATTTTCAATGGAACGAGTATAAGAAATCTGGATAAGGAACACAATTTCTTATAGCTGCCAAAGGTTATGAACTCAAAGATTATCTATTCAAATTCAAAATTCTCTTGAGAAACAAGACCTAAATTCATACTGGAAGAGAGGTAAAATAGAGAACAAAAAGGCTTCTTTCTTAAAGAGAAAGTGAGAAACCCTGTCAAAGTAGCTTTCTGCATTCTGAGAGTTCAGAATGTCTGGAAATGTGTAAATCAGAGAATAGATAGATAAATTCAAATGTAGAAATAGAGAGAGGGTGTCATCACGCAAACTATACAAAGGTTAGGATTTCAATCAAAGAAGACTGAAATTAAGAAAAAGTACTCTATGATCAAGGGGAAAATCATTCCCTGCTATACACTAAAGAAAGTGGTTTACTAGAGTACAGACAGAAATTCAAAATATGTTTTCTTATGGGGATGCAAGAAATAGTGTTGCTGACAAAGAGTGAAGACCAGAATGATAATTAACATTCCTAACAAGAGAAATGAGAGAAAATTGCTATATCCACCTATTTCTTGCTTATGGGCTACTGTATTTCCATCACAATTGCATGGAAGAGGGTGATAGGACCCAAAAGGATCCACAACATAAGTCCCAAGTCATTCCACCTGAGGCCCATGCTACTGCAGGTGGCAACAACAGTCATTCCACACCTTCTACAACCTATTAAGTATGTTTACACTAGGAGGCCACGTCACCACAATTATCTTCAATCACATATAAAAGGCATGAACCATACCCTACTCCCCATACAAGGGACTATTGTAGCTGGATTGATTCAGAAGAAGAATAACTCAAATATCCCCCTGGCTCTCCCTTCTTTCGGGAGGATAAGATCCCTCAAAGAAGCTCCAGATATTAATCAATCTTATCAATTGGCATCAGAGCAACGATCCAATACTGATCCAGAAAAAAAAAAAAAATCAGAGCAATTATCCAGGATGACTAATACTAGATTGATCTCTATGAAGGACTGAGAGGATCAAATGGAGGTGAATCTACACAGGGTAAAATAGTAGTCGTACAAAACTATAACCAGTCTTAGGTTTTGAACAGAAAATAAAACTAAAAGAAGAAGAGGAGAAGAGTTGGGAGCTTGAGCTTCAGTTTACCCACCTATTTCCTGTCTCTTTTCTCTATTCCAAACAATGTTGCAAATCAGCTTGAAAAGCTTCAAAGTTGTTTTCTTTGGAGAGGTTGGGAGGAGGAGAAAAAAGTGCATTTGGTGAGTTGGGAGCAAGTTTGCCTCACCAAAGATGAAGGGTGGGTTAGGCATAAGGAAGTTGAAATCTTTTAATTCTGCTCTCCTCTGCAAGTGGATTTGGAGATTTGCAGCAGAAAATGATGCCTGGTGGAGATCTCTCATCGCTAGCAAATATGGTGTGGATTGGGGTAATCGGAGAACAAGGGACCCTCCTCCCAATTGGGGTAACTCTTTGTGGAAAGGGATAATGAAGAATTTTTCAGCTCTGGCTGCTGGGGTCTCAATTAAAGTTGGCAATGGTAGTAGAACCAAATTCTGGAAGGACTCTTGGTGCTCAGATGAACCCCTTGCTGATTCCTTTCCTCTCCTCTTCCAGTGTGCTTTGAATCAAGAGGCTTCAGTTGCAGAGTGCTATAGCGTATCTGGTGGTTCAGCTCTTTGGTCTCCTTCATTTAGAAGGAACCTTTTTGATTGGGAGGTGGATGAGGTTTTGAATCTGTTGACCTGTCTTCAGAACCATGAGCTGGATTACAGTTCAGAGGATAAGTGGCAGTGGAAGTGGAATTCAGATGGTGTGCTCTCTGTCAAGTTTCTGGCTTCTAACCTCAGTAGTAGGGGTGTTCCTGATTTCCCTGGCCATCAAGTGTGAAATCCCACCAGTCCAACTAAATCTAACTTCCTAGTTTGGACTATGGCTCTTAATAAATGTCTTACTAGATCTAACCTAGTGAGAAGGGGCATTCAGATTTTGGACCTGCCATGCAGTCTGTGTGGGAGTAGTGCTGAATCCACTGACCATTTGTGCATCCACTGCCCGTTTTCTGCTCAGCTGTGGAGTCATTTCCTCAGCTCCATGAATTTAAGTTGGGTTATGCCAAGGTCGGTTAAGGAGCTGTTGTGTTGCTGGAAGCTCATGGGTTTGAGCAAGAAAAAGAAGACTGTTTGGAAGACGATTCCAATTGCTGTGTTTTGGTCCATCTGGTCTGAGAGGAATAGAAGGATATTCTGTAACAAGGCTTTAGGTTTGGAAGAGCCAATTCAGAAAACAGTGGGCAAACTGATGTCTTGGGTGTCTGTGTCTGAGGATTTCAGAATTGTAATTTGTCAGCTGTTTCAGATATTCTGTAATTGCTGATTTGATCAGTCGGCCTTTTCTGGGACTGATCTCAGCCTCCATTGTGTATTTTTTATCTCAATAAATATTACTTTACCTTTTCCAAAAAATAAAAAAAAAAGAAGAGAAGAAGAGGGAAGGAGAGGGAGAACTCGTAGAGAGATTCCCGAGAAAAGAGTGGTTGTGACAAAACAGCCGCCCCACTCTTAAATTTATATTCATGATATCATAATTGTAAAAGGATTGAAAAAGGGCTGGATTACCCTTATTTTATTGCTTACATGGCAAGATAATAATAAGATAAGATAAAGCTGAAATAAACTAACATAACTAACTGCTGTCTTACGAACACAGTGGGGTCCATATCAGTGTTCTCTAAAGAAATCAAAGAGAGTCTAACAGCAGTGGTGTCTCAGTTCAAAAGGTTATCTGCTAATTTGAACAAGGAAAACAACAGTAAAGGATCTAGCAGTGGTAACTTTAGATGAGGAGGAAACACCACTGGACAATTTACTAAATTATATTTTCTGATGTTTTCAGGTGAGGACCCCATCCCGTGGATATAAAGGACTGAATGAAATTTGAGTGCCAATGGTACTGCAGATCGCACCCTCAAGTCACTTGGTTGGACTTCACTAAGGCACTTACTATATGATTTGGACCTTTTGGGTTCAATGATTTTGATGAAGCCTTGTCTACACTGAAACAAATTGGATCAGATCGAGTTTGAAAAGGTTGCTACTAGAGTGCATGGCTGGCCTGAAAAAGGCTCTTACCAGTTGCTTCATAGGTGGATTCAGAGAAGATATTTGAATTGAACTGAAAGGCAATGCAGCCAACATCAGTCATGGGTGTGGTGGGCTTGCTAAACTGCAAGAAGAATGGCTAAAATGCCTCAAAAGAATTACCCACCACATGGGGGCGATTTTGAAAACTCCTCAAATCAAGCCTGAACCAAATCCACCAAAGCCCACCCACAGGTCTCCTTGCCCCAAAAAAAAACTCCCATGGACTGAGATGCAAGCCTGATATGAGAAGGGCTTGTGCTACAATTGTGGTGAAAAATTAGCTACAGGGCATCATTGCAAGGCCCAACAAATTTTACTTCTACAAGTTAATGATTTCTTAGATGAAAGTGGTGGTTCTGGATCTATTCAGTCCAGTTGTTTAGGGGTGGTCAAGGTGTTAACTGAATATCCAGATCTCTCGTTTCAGGCTTTTACAGGCCTGAGATCACACATAAGACCATGAGGGTTTAAGGCTTCATCATGGGTTCATCCTGAATTAGTAGTACTAAATTTTTTTGCTTGGTAATTAGAAGTACTAAAAGCACACAAACTCTTTCAAAATACAAAACAATCAAAGGTGAGTAGCTAAAATTCTTTGTTGCACCCTCTCCATCCTGTTATTCTTGTTTTTAGAAATTACTACTTTATTTCTTCTCAAATATTCTCAACACAAAAAGAAGGTTATAGAGGACTTTAATCTCTCAAGAGAAGCATTCAAGTGGCAACACAAATCAAATTAGGAATACCATGAGGTGCTACCCACCATACATCAAAGCAGAAAAAAAAGGTTACACCCTAAAGCTGAAGGGCCAACAAATTGATGGATAGGGGACTAGGGGTACCATTTCCTTGTGCTAAATAAAGCAAATGCATGGGATATGTGCATTCTTCTCATATCAAATTGCTGATAGCTAAGATCTCAGCCAAGAAGTTCAAGTAGGCCATCCACATAATGCAATGATAGTTTGGATATGGGTGCTCCAGATGAATGAAGTCAAAGACAGTCTCTTCAACCACCAACCCCAAAGAAAATGGAAAAGGGGAGTGATTAATGCATATTATGTTTTTGATAAGCCAGACACGTTCCTAGCGAAAATATAAAGAAACCACTATTTGGGATGTGTCCAAGTCACTCACCTCAAGTGGCATTCACATAAAATTCTTTAATCACATTCACAAAATCATTTCTAATTGTACACACCCCATTTTGGCCCTCCTTCTGGCCAGATCCCCATACTAATACATCCCAACACAAATAAATTGCATAGGAAGAGCATCTAGAACCACAGGTCTATCAGGGTCCAAGTCACTCACCTGTTTTATCAAAGATCTGATTGAAAGTTACCATGCTGAACTTAAATATAAACTTTGCTTCTCCAAGTAGAGATACTCATAAACAATAAAAAAGAAAGTAGAGATATTCAAAGAACTCCATATTACCTTGGACCTCAGATGGTCCTCTTCAAACTCCTTTTTACTCAGCCTAATCTTTGATATACTATTGAATATTATTTAACTACAACTAGATACTAGCAATACAGTGGAAATATTTTTTTTTCTTCCATATTCATCTATACTTACATAACATTCTTTAGTTGTATAATTTTTCTCATGAGCAATTGAGAATCAGCTTTTTCTGTGTTTCTTCTTTTTATTTTTTTATTTGTTCAGTGATTTCTAACTGTATCACTTCCATACGAAGGAGAATATGAACAAATGTTTTGCTTTCTTAAGCTTCTCAAAACCACTTTGTTGGTGTTAGACACTAATACATGGAAATACCCTTGTTTACATAACAAAACCTCCCTCGATAACTTGTATCAGGAATGAAACGTGTCATCCACCAAGTATGGAACCTGTGGATTAGAATCCAGAAGAAAAGTTTAGGTTTAATCAACCTAGTGAAGGAAACCAATGTTTTTTCCTGGTAATACATCATATGTAGCTGTAGATAACATCCTCTCACTTTTGGGCATAAGAGAACCAAAATCTCCCTCTGCTGCATTAATGCATCTCAGAGGTTTCTGGATTTCATAACCTCAGCTACAGAAATTTGGCAAACCATATCATAGTCAGGAATATACCAATGACAATATAATTAACCACTACGAAGTAGAAACTAGAAACAATTTTGTTGAAACCATGCTTAAAGGTTTCTTAATAGTTTCATATCAAGAAAATGAATAAAGGCAGTCTATTTCAATAATAGACCTAAAGCTTTCAATAATAGACTTAAAGCTTTCACATCAAGATTCAAATAATTTCATATCAAGAAAATGAATAAAGGCAGTCTCATGCTTAAAGCTTTCTTAATAGTTAAAACCAATCCATGTAGAACACCGCTAAAGTTGGTGTTGTAAAATTTTCTATTTCAATAATAAATGTGTGAAAGTCCTAGTAACAAGAAACATTGAGCAAAAAAAAAATATGGAATTCAGTAAGATGCTGAATATGCAGGGTGGATAAACACACATATAACTTGAATTAGAAACAGGGCTTCAAAAAAACTTTTGTTTTTTGAAATAAGGTAAATATTCAAACAGAACAAAACAGGGATTCAAAAAAACTTGAACTAGAAACAGGGTGTGAATACATGATATTCTGATAAGCCTACCACTTATAAGTTAGACTTTAAGATTTAAATATTAGTACATTCATCATGGGACATTATACTTGGTACACAAGAAAGCAAAACTTCATGAGAAAGGACTGAAATCATACCAAGGGACAAATATATCTTTAAAGGAGGCTTAAATGGTTGAGTCTCATAAAGACAATATAAGCAATACATTCCACCTAATCTCTGTGACAAAGATCCTGTGGAAACCATCTTACCTGCATATGACATTACTATATTGTGAATAAAACATCATTAAGTCCTCCAAACTTGACATTAAAATATGTGCTCAAACACAAAAAAATCAAAATGAAAAATGGGAATATATGGTGCAATATATTACTTCTATGTGTAAACCCTTTTTTTAAACCTTAAGGGTCATTTTTTTTTGACTAAGCACCTCAAGTTTTCTTTAAGGTTTTTATTTTATTTTATTTTTTCAAATATCAATCCTATTTGTCCTTTGAAGTCCTTCCTGATGAGGAAGAGCATCTGATATTATCCCATGAAGCAGAAGCTGCTTCAATAAGATTACAAGATAGAGAACCATAAGCAAAGCATTATGCTATGCAATGAAAAGAAATGCCTTCATCTTCTTTTTGCAGGAGGATCCCCTGCAAAGGGTACCCATGTTCCAAGGTGGATAACAAGATATGATGATCTAGACTTTTTAAGTCATCCAAGAAGAAACATATTTCTTTATCAATTTTTTGATAAAAGAAACATAATTATCTGCACAGTAAATGTTTCCATAAGATTACAACATCCCTTGCAATGAGAAAAACAGAGGTTTCAGAGTCTCTCAAATTTCTCCTCAAACCCAAGTCCCAATATATCCCATTATCAGAAGAAGAGGCACAAAAGATTGTACAAAGAGATAAATAGAAGAGAATTTATCCTTCATAATTTTTTTATTTGATAAATGGTAAAGTATTGTACTAAAATAAAGTAAATTCAAGTACAATCAGAAGCTGTACCATATTTGTCAAGGCGGTGCCTAGGCATGTAGGTGCTTTTTGGGCTTGCCTCATCCAAACACCATATGGATTATATAAAACCTCATCAAAGTTTCATATGTTTCTTATATTTTTATTTATTTTCTTTTTGAGAAAAGATAACTGATTTTGTTAAACAAGGGAGGGATGTACATGAGGGGACGCACAAGGCCTTGTCAGCAAAACAAAAACAAAAGACAAAGCCCACTAATAATTTGGCAATGTATGTGCACTATACAAAAAATCCCTTCCCAGCCCAGATTTAGCAAGGCTATTAGCCTCTTGATTTAACTCTCTAGGAATCCATCTAAAACCACAATGCAAGCAAGAGGCGAACTTCCTGATTTCTAACAGTAGGTGGGAGAGCTTCCATGGGTCAAGAGTCTGTCCAGAAGCCCAATTTATATCATTCCTTAAGTCTCCTTCCACTGCAATGAAACTAAGCTGCTGCTGCCTCCGTTGCCATTTGATCTACAAACCAGACCTCCTATTCCTGCATCTGAGCTGCCCTCCACAGCTCTCCTGAAGCTGTCATCAAAGTTCAGAATGTACTAACATTCTTGTTTTGGGGTGATTCACTGATTCTAAAGAAAGGCTGAGGGTGAAAGGGAGTGGTTGACAGAAGAACTGGTCAATTTCTTTGCAGGTCACTCCAATTGATACCCTCAAAAACTTTACTATTCACCATCCAGGAGGAGGAGTTTTCATTAAATAATCTCCTATTTCTTTCCTCCCAGAGGTTCCACATGACAGCATGGATAATTACTTTCCAGAAACAACTTCATCTCCTGCCCAAACGCCATATTAATCTTTAGCCCTTGCCAAGAGTTGATAAACTCTATAACAGAATTTGGGGGAGTCCGAGACTGCCCCTTGCTAAAGAGTCAAGAAAAAACTGCCAGACTTCTAGCCACGTTGCAATTAATAAGAAGATGACCAATAGATTCCCCATCATTATAGCACATCAGACAAATAGGAGAGATGTAGAGATTGCCTTGAAACTTCTTTTGGAAGTTGTCGCAGGTATAGCTTTGCACAAGAAGCCTCCCAAACCATGAAGGAAATTCTAGGGGGGAATGAGGAAAGCCAAATCTTTTAGACCGGAAAAGGAGAGGGCGTTGGGTTGGCAGTTAGATGTTGAAAGAAAGAAAAGGTAGTGAAGGAACCATGTAGGGTTAAGAACCTGATGAAAACTTCTCAGAGCATTGAGAGTAAGGAGATAATTGCAGGGATTTCTGAGTCTCTCAACTCTCTACGGAAGTTGAAATTGAAGGAGAGTCCCTTTATATTTTAAGTATATAATATTAAGATGGGCATTATACATTGTATCATTCTTTTTTATTTCTTTTCATCAAATAATATTTTTTATTAAGTTCTATTTTATTAGGGTTCTGCTAGATACTTGAAGACCTAAGCAAGTTCGATAGGCATTCTTGTCAGGGTTATGTATTTGAAGAATCAAGGAAAATCAACAAATCGCACAAGGTATGCTATTCTTTTTCTTCTCCTCCTCCTCCTCTGGAACAAAAACAGGGGCTCTGCCCCCTTCTTCTTTTGAGCTCTACCCCTTCTTTTTTTTTTCTTTTTTTTTTTGGAAGAAAAACAGAGGCTCTTGAAACAAAAAAAAGGGGCTCAGCTCCTTCTTCTTCCTTTTCTGGAACTAAAACAAAGGCTCCACCCCTTCTTTTCCATCATTTTTGAGAATTTTCTTTCATCCTTTCTTTTTTCTAAGACAAGAACAGGGTCTATGACCCTTCTTTTACTTTTGTTTGTATGACAAAATAGGAACTCATCCCCTTGTTGTCCAGTATTTTTTGAGACATAAAGTGACCCCTAGGCGGGTGCCTAGGCAACTAGGTGCCCCCCTGTCACCTAGGTTCACCTTGGTGCCTTGAAAACTATGAGCTGTACACAAGAACCAAACAAAAGCTGCCCCTGCAGCACTATACCTCACAACCTTGTTTTACAAAAAAAGATTTTCGTGTACAAAAAGGTAATTATAGCCTGTACTTATAAATATTTAGTTTATAGCTAGCCATGAATACATCTTTCCTGTAATCTTCTGAAACACAGCATCTACTGAACTGTTTTTTTTTTTTTTTTTTTTGGTTTTTGAGAAAGAGTTATGGAATTTCATTAAAAAGAGAGAAAGTAAATGAGATGTACAAGACACATGGAAAAACCCCAAGGGATTACACAGGAAGCAATCTATCACTATAAAAGACATCCAAATGAGCACCAATTTTTGCTAAGCCATCTGCAACAGAGTTTAGTTCCCCCAGAATCCAAGTCAAATTTGCATTTAGCAGTTCCAAAGAGTCTCTAGCTTCTTCCAGAAAATGACTCAATCTCCACAGGCCACCCTCTTTATCCCTTAGCCATTTTATGGTATTTTCTGAATCTCCTGCAATGGTTAAGTTTTGAAGGCCCAAGATTCTAAGTTCTAACTATTCTGATGCCCATGAGAGCAGCCAATACTTCTGCCTTAGTGGAGTCTGCAACTCCTATTGGATTACTAAAAGCCCAAACAACATTACCCCTTCCACCTCCTACTATACCTCCAATACCAGCTACTCCAGGATTGCCTGACACACTTCCATCAAAGTTTTGAACATTCTTGCATTTCTTTCCTGCTACAGACATCAAAAAACTGCACCAAGAGATATTCCATGTCAGCTTTCCTTTTTTGGCCACCCCTCTAATTCTCCATCCCTGTACAAACTCCACCACTGACCCCGGAGGACAACAGCTCTTCGCTTCAAACAGGTTCTATATTTTTTACCAAATTTCATGGGAGAAGCTGCAATGAAGTTGTTTCTACTGT